GATGACAATTTGCCATCTAAGCCCTTGAGGACCCCTACGTTCCTCGACACTGCTTTCGATACCCTATGGACCTCTCGCTGATCTATGGGCTTGCCCAAGATCCTCGAATGGTCCAAATGGTGACGAGATGGCCCTTTACGGGCCATCTTGTTCAACATAACTGCGGACCAGCCGCCAATTTGTATAAACTGTGATTAAAAATACAATTAATGTAAAATTCTGTTTTAAGCTGTTCTTATTAAGATAGACACACGTAAACAGGCGAACAAACCAAACACACCCTGTGATCAATATGATCGATAATATTAATAACACTTTAAACACTTTGGTGACGTGGTAACCAGACAAATAAAGTTATATATATAAAATGTTAAAATTCAATAAAATTATGGTTCGAAAATTTAGGAGGACGGAAAGGGAGCACACTAATAATGGTAGTGGGTGGGGTATACTTCTAGAAGATGTAGGGGTTTGCGTAGTTTGTTGATATGCTTCTAGAAGGTCTAGTGTCCGGTTGTGCCCATTAGTGGTGCCTATGTACTTATGTTATATGTCTCTGTAATTGATGTGGCTGTGGTTAAACACCTTATTATTGAACGTTTATTTGTTTGACAACAAAAACTTTGTTTATTTCCGGAAACCGGAAACGGAAGTCCAAAACAACCTGCCCTACTACATTATATATAATTGGCCAAATGATAATACAGACAGCACGTGATCACATAGTTAACTTTATATACCCAGGTTATCTGAACTCTTAATTGCCAACCAGTGGCAAGATCAGTCAACTAAATATGACGATTTATTGAAAAAGAATGTCAAAGTATTTATAAATAAGTTTATCCTAAAATGATAAGTCATATAGATTGAATTATTGTCAAAACTATGAAGTTTTGAAAAAGGGTCAAAGCTTTGAAGTGAACTGACCTGTCTGCCAGTTTCAAAGATGGCAAATACAGAAAACAATTTGGTACTTATACACATTTTGGTCATGATAAGATTGATTGGTTAAAATAGCTCATAACAAGTTCTAAACTAATCAAATAATTTAATCAAGTCAACCAAGGAAAATATTAATCTCCTACGCAGTTATCTCCCCTTATCAGTACAGAGATCTCTGCCATGACAAACATTTTTATCAGTATTTTGATATTTTATATTTTTTTTAGCTTTTGAATTTATTTTTCATTATTTTGTATACTAATTTTTTGATAAACTGTAACACACGTAGGTACATAAAGTTAAAAATAAAACAGAACTAGAAAAATGACGGATTTTCTATGTAAGGGCATTTACATTTGAATTTCAATGTTACGTCCTGTGACTTTCATCATCATGTGAAGGCAGTGATTACAATTCTGCCAAAGGGGGTAATAACTGTGAGGATTTTGTGAAAATATAGATTTAAATCAAAAGCACCAATCATATTAACTCTAACAAATAAGGTAAGGGAAATAAGCTAAAAGGGCATTAAAAACGGAACAAATCACAATGAACAGATTACTTAAATGCAGCCCCATCACAATATGCTTAAGAAATGACAAAAATCTTTTATAAGTCATCTTGTGTCTTATATTTAATATTTTGCTACATAGATGTGTATGCAATGTTAGTCAGCATATATAGTTGTGCACCTGGGGGTTTAATTGTGAATTTAATAAGTATTAAATTTGTTGACTACTTGCCCTTGACTTAGTAACAACCATTCCAAAATGTTATGTGTACCTTGAGCACTTTAAGGTTATTTAAAATCCTCCAACTTTACAGGGATGATGGTCACCATCACTTTGAAGCCGTGCACCTGGGGTTTTGCATGTGGATTTTTTCAGTTTTGTTAAGTTTTTGCCCTTGACTAAGTTTAAAGTAGCAAATTTCAACTTGTTCATGCAAAGCTCAAAAGTGTTTGACCTGTAGTCCTGATTGTTTATAAGAATGTTGGTCAGCATAATTATGTACTTATGCACCTTGGGTTTTGCTTGTGAATTTCTTCAGTATTTGCAGTTTTTGCCCTTAACTTAGTGAAAGATTTTCAGTTTTCTAATTGTGTTGTGTGTAGCCCCAAAAAAATATTTGACCTAAAGTCTGTAGATTGAGAAACAGTGGAGTATAAGGGCACCCATGTCCTATGGACACATTTCTTGTTTTAAATTGATATTTTTTCATATTTTATGAATTATATAGAATTATTATTGACTTCCAAAATTACTGCCACTTTTGGCTTAATAGCCTGACAACAATGAAAATACAGACAAACATTACTGCACCTGTCTTTTATCTTTCCATGGTGTATTTATAAGTATAAATATTGTTTTAAATAGGAACTGAATATTGTTTTAAACAGGTACTATGTTAGTTTTACCTATCTGTACATATTGCTCTTTTTCTCTGTATTGTTGTACAATCATATCATTTTTTGCTTTATCAATCATTACTTCAATTTAATTGATCTATTTTAATAATATTTGTGTATATATGTTGTGTATATGTTGTGTACATGTAAACTGATTGTAATTAAGTTATGCTGAGGCCCACATGGAAGATCGGGAAACCGAATGTGTAAGCCTCGTTAAATAAAGTCGTTACTTACTTACTTACTTACTTCCCAATTGACCTCAATCTGTTGTCTTTTTCTAGAAAAGCATTCCAACAATTTTTATTAGAATGCTTTTCATTCCCGATTGGCTTAAATTTGATCGCAACTGCTGACTCCGTTTCCGTCTGGGGAAAATCTGGTGTTCTTGAGTGCTAAGCACCACTGGCAGTGGTTGTGGTGGTTATTGGCAATTCTTGTTGCATGCCCATTTTTCGCCAGTCTACGTAGCTCTCTAACATGAATTAGAGGAAATATGATTTTATAACTGTCCACTACAATGATTTTGCATTACTTATTTTTTCGTAACATTTAAATGTTTTGCAGACTAGAAATTTGTGTACCTCCATAATTATGCCTTATGTGCCTTTCTAATCATTTAATCACAAAACTTGCAATATTTATAGGACAGTAGTTTTTTTGTTGTTTTTTTTTTTTAATGATTTTCTGTGCACATTTTGATCTGAATTCATTTCACTGTTATATATAAATAGTTCATTTGAACTTGAAGTTAGATCCAATCCATCATTCAGTCTTATTTGGTTTCCTTAGAATTTCTACATTTGTCAGACAATAACAAAATAAGAAAATCGGGGAAATAAATGGATGTAAAATGTAATTTCCCGCATTAAAAATGTACGTTTTAAGTATTTGTCTCTTGACAAGAATACATTGAAATGAACATTATGTTTTTTACTGCAGCTGTAGTTCCTGCAGCTGTAGTTAAGATGATCTCTACCTTCTTTTTCACTCTGATTCTTAATGGTGTGATTTGAATGTTTGTGCCTAACAAGTTGACCTTACTTGATTGCCAATTTGAATAGTAAGCTGCATTCTTCGCAAGTGAATATTTCTTTTTTTCAGAGGTATGTTGTGTGTCCATTTTTCTTGCTTCTTTTTGTACTGCCTTTTCTTTACAGTCTGTAGTGGAAGACTATTCCTTTCAAACTTGGATTTGGTGTGTCACAAAGATTATATTTTTAACATAATGTAATCAGATTTGTTCTTTGATTCAACGTGTTTGAGCAATGCTAAATGGCGATGCTGTCATTTACCAGCATGGTACACATTTGTGTGTTTTGAATTGTTATTTTGATGCTCAGATTGTTTTCAGACTGTACACATCTTCCATGTTGATCAGCCCTCATTGCTTGGTCTGTAGCCAATCTTCCAGTTCATGACCTTCGATTCTATGACGTATAAGGAAAATGAAGTTAGCAGTGAAGACTAGGGTTGGTAGAACATCATTATAAGCTCTCAGAGGTGTCTGACATTGCCACAGCAATCTGCCGCTCCTGGGTTTGAGTATACTGTGACATGTTAAAGTTTATCTTTCACATAAGCCAGACTCTAATGACCGATCATCTATATTATAGACTATAAATATTTATAATTTCATCATGTAAATGATTGCAAAAAGCAAATATTGAAAAATAGGGCTGGGTATTGCAAAGAAAAAACATATTGCAATAAGTATTTTGATATATTTTAACTAAATATATTGTGATATATTTGAACTAATATATTGTGATATATTTGAACTATGTCCTGTAAAATGTCTACTGAAGATTGACTTCAGAGTTTTATCATTTAATCATGTGTCCTTATAAATCTTACATTAGAGGCCCTTTGCCTGAGATTTTGCGTTTAATTGTTAAATGATATTGTTTATGAAGGACAAGTACAACTATATGCAATGTGTCATTTAAAGTCAAGCTATATTCAAGTAGAAAACACTTATATTTCTAATAGAATTTCAGGTGTTTTTTTTTATTTATTTAGAATTTCAGGTGTTTTTTTATTTACTTCGATATACTGAGAATTAAATTTATTCTTCAAATAGCAATGATTTGCCAACTTGTTTTTTTACAATAACAAAAGGTTCTGCCTGTCAAGTTAAAAAATTGTGTTAGCTTGTTTTTTTCTTCGAAACAATTGTTATTATAATTGCTGCCATATCCTTCCTGTCTTGCAAAAACCTCAATGTAGCCTGGCATTATTAAAACATTTTAAGTTACCAACGTGGAACTTGGAATACTTATCATGACAAGTTGAAGTTGTTAGACAAGGGGCATAATTCTAAAAGTAATAAAGAAATACTTTTGGTATTATTTCTTAACTTTAAATTTGTAACAGTTGAGTGTAAACATGCATGCTCTTCAATAGCAATCTATCTTTCCGTAACTAAGTGAATGGGTAAACAACAGACGGAAAAAAAATGCCTTTTTATAACTACCAACATGACAAAAAGGTGGTGTGCGCCTGATTTGACAAATAGATAATGAAGAGCTAATCTCAGTTACTTGTCCCCATTATATTATGTCCTAGGTTTTATAGACTAGCACTAGACCTTTCTTGATAAAAAATACAGTCCAATTATTACTGTAATAAATCTTTTTTCCTTTTCCAGCTTAGCTTGTTCAGACCAGAGAGTGTATTTTTAGATTATTATGGACCTCTTGGTACTTTCGGAAGATACATGAACAAAAACCATATTGGAGTTCTTCAGATGATGTAAGTATTAGAGAATTTTTTTAAAGTAAAAATTCCAGTATGGCAAATTCAGGTTAAGTGCAAACTAAACTGAAGTACCGTAACACTGATGGTATACAATCAAATTGATTTGCTTGCAAATAGTCAAGTTTTGTTTGTCAATATTTAACTTGGTTAATATAACTGTTTTACAAAGTGTTTAGTTATGATATTGTACATTTTTTTTTTACAATTTGAGGTTATATAGTTTTATATTTGTTTTGTAGACGTGTTGCAGCAGCTGCAGCACATATAGGAGAATCCATTTATGCTGGCTTTTTATGCAGGTAAGAATCTCGATGTTAGTATCTCATAATAATCATCTTCAAAAGTCTGTATAGTCTAATTGCCGAGTGATTAAGGTTATTGTCACTTCAAACCACTTGCCCCTCTCTGCTGTGGGTTTGAATCCTGACTGGTACTTTGGATTCTTACATTTGAGGTAGCTTACAGAATGTCTGTGGTTCTACTGGGATGCCCTTTTGCGACCTAATTACTATGTTGGTGTGATGTAAAACCCAAAAGAAAAAAAAAGTAGTTCTGATTCTATCAAGACCCGCATTTTTCCCTATTGAACATAGAACTAAGAGTGTGTGTTATTATGCAATAAAATCACCGACGTTCTATATTTAGACATATGACAGTCATTAATACACTCAAAGTAACCACTAAAAATGTGACGCGCTGAAAATAATTACGAAAACAAATCAACGCAATTTAGCTTTATAGCAGTTATGGCAGCATTATTTATTTGTTGATGTTGTCAGAATCAAAATATGGCTTGATAAAATCACTGTTTTTCGGATGGGCATCATTATATGATTCTTTGCATCCGAACTCCAAACAGTGATTTTATTAGCTCGACATTTTTTTTTTTGAAAAAAAAAGTAGAGGTATTGTTATAGTCGCGGCAGCGTTGCCGTTGCCGTCCGCAAACTTGTACCTGGATCATAACTTTTTTATTTCTTGGTGTATTGTCTTCATACTTGGCCACAACAACCCTTGGGACAAGACCTTTCAGTAGACCACACTAACCTTGACCTTTATCCATAAATGACCTTGACCTTCAAGGTTAAAAGACCTAATTTTGCTTGTTCATGCTGTTATTGGCTGTAACTTTGTTATTTTTGAATTGATTGTCTTCAAACTTGAACATAATAATCTTCAAGGGTATCCCTTAAAAATAACCTGACAGACCGTGACCTTCACTCATAAATGACCTTGACTTTGAAGGTCAAATTTTTGAAATTTTCATGTTTTTGGCTATTATTGGCTGTAACTTTGTTATTTTTGAATGGATTGTCTTCAAACTTGAACATAATAATCTTCAAGGATAACCCTTAAAAATAACCCGACAGACCTTGACCTTCACTCATGAATGACCTTGACTTTGTTTTGGCTGTAACTGGCTGTTACTTTGCTATTATTGAAGGGATCAACTTCATATTATAACAGAACATTATGACTTAAATGTTTATCGTGACTTCACCACGTGGCTCCACCACGTGACTCCACCACGTGACTCCACCACGTGACACCACCACGAGACTTCACCACGTGACACCACCATGTGACTTCGAATTGGGTGTCTCTATTTATATATATATAAATTAGTAAATTTATATATATAAAATATATAGACAAAACTAATGTGACAAAACAGAATGATTAATTTTATAAAAAAGGAAACGTTAATATTTTGTTCAAACATTTCTTTGTTTGCTTTTAGAGAAAGTAAAAAGTCGAGCGTTGCCTCCGCCCGGCGGTGGCTCTTGTTGAGCAATGAAATCCCTGGGATACATCATTCTTAGAGTGTGTGTTATTGTGATCACTTTTTGTCCGGCGTAACCGCCTCCGTGGTCGAGGGGTTAGAGTTGATGACTTCTAATCCAGTTACCTCTCTGGCGTGGGTTTGATCCCCGGGAGATGCTTTGGTAGTTTAGCACGGAGGAAGGTAAACTAGTACTGGTGTAACTCCAGGAACGATGGTTAGGAAACTACCCGCCTATATGACTGAAATACTGTTGGGAATTAAAAGGCGTAAAATGAAACAAACAAACAAACAAATCGTCCGTCCGAGCGAACATCCAATGGTCTGAGCTTCATTCCGTCCATAATTTTAGTAAAAAAAGAAGGAAATCCCATAAACCGACTGGTTTATGTGGTAATTTTACTGGTTTATGGGGGGAAATGCCACATAAAGATCAAAGAAAAAGCACAAATACCCCCATTGTTGGCATGTCTGTCCGTCATGCATAAACTTTTACTTTAAACGGCATCTCCTCATAAACCGCTAAGCCAATTTCATGCAAACTTCACAAGAGTGGTCCTTTGGGGGTCACCTTTAAATATTGTCCAAAGAATTTAATTCCATGCAGAACTCTGGTTGCCATGGCAACAAAAAGAAAAAACTTAAAATATCTTTTAAAAATCCCAAAGAGGTAGAGCTTAGATATTTGACATGAAACATCTCCTTGTGAGTGTCTATCAAGTTTGTTCAAATAAAAGCCTTTTGGTCAAAATTGGCCCTGCCCTGGGGGTCATTGATTTTCCTTATATGATTGTATATAGTAAAGACTTAAAAATCTTCTTTTAAAAAACCGAAAGAGTTTGGCATGAAACATCTTCTAGTGAGTGTCTATCAAGTTTGTTCAAATAAAAGCCATGGGGTCAAAACTAGCCCCACCCTAGGGGGTCATTGATTTTCCTTATATGTATATAGTAAAAACTCAAATAAAAACCCTGGGATCAAAAACTGACCTTGCCCCGTGGGTACTGATTTTCCTTATATGTCGATAGTAAAAACTTAAAAAAAATCTTCTTCTAAAAAACCTAAAGAGCTAGAACTTGGATATTTATCATGAAACATCTTCTAATGGGTGTCTACCAAGTTGGTTACAAAAAAAAGCCCCTGGGTTAAAATTAGCCCCGCCCAAAAGGCCTATATACAGGTGAGCGATTTCAGGGCCATCATCAATTGTCGTGTAGTCCATTATTCAATCATTTCATGAGGTATTAACATAAAACTTGGAAAACTTGCTTATCATGACAAGTTGCAGTTGTTGGACAAGGGGTATAATTCTGAAAGCAACATTTTGGAGTTATGCCCATTTTAACTTAGAACTTTGCTCATGCACCTTGGGCTTTGCTCTTGTTTATATTTCATATACACAAAATATTGATATGTTTTTATTTTTGTTTATTTATAGGAAGAAAAGAATCAACACGTTGCCAACAATATTGTGGATGATACAAACGTTAGTGATGGGTTTTCCCTCTCTACTACAGTTAGTGGCTTACAAACCTGGTAAAAAACAGGGCTGATAGTTGGATAAAAATTAATAAAATTAGGATACTTTAATTGATAATTCTCAGGAATAAAGTTGATTTAAGCAATTGGTGATTAATTATAACCAGGCAAATACCTCAGGGCAGAGAGTCGCCCTACTATGTTACTCTGGACAAAAGTTGAAGGTATGATTGATTTTATAACTGGACAAAAAATGGTGAAAGGGCAGTGCTTATTGAATAGTAAAATTAATGACATTTAATCATTTAAGGAAATTTAATGACATTTAATCATTGAATTGATATTGAAAAGGAAAATTAATGACATTTAATCATTGATTTGATATTGAAAAGGAAAATTAATGACATTTAATCATTGAATTGATGTTAAATTTATGGTCCTGGAATTTTACTTTGTTGAACAATTGATTGTGTAATGTGCCAAAAACCGGTTCTTGTTTTTTTTTCTTCAATTTTTGTAACTATTCCAAGTTAGCTAATTTTGAATTTAGCACTTAACAGTACATGTATATATTGACTGTTCAGACAGAGCAGATAAAGTTGACCTGACTGCACGAATAGAGAAGCTTGAAAAGTTCTATAAATAGAATTTGTTTCTTGTATGTTCATTATCAGGTCTTCACTTTGAATGTAGTTAACTATTTGGCAGATTCACATTATCTCTTTACATGTTAAACATGTTTCAATCAGTTACATGTAAATATCGAAATATTGTCTCTGATTACTTTACATAATAAGCAATATTTACTCTTGTCTTCATTGTTTTGTGGCAGAGGTATCGGGTCAAACAAAATTATGCAAAACATTTTGTTATTTATGCACCATGTCATCGAGGATGAGCTGTGATTTTTACATTTTATACGAGGATCATTGTTATAAATTGATGACGATTTTTGTATATTTTGACATTGGAAATTAATGAATGGATTAACTTTGTATGTATCTATTGTGTTGGGGGAGTCTTTTGCAGAGAATGATGCACTTTGCAGAACAAATTGTGTGTAATGTAGAAGAATTATTGAAATCCTAATACGTATTTACATGTATTTGAAAATAACTGAAAAAGAAATATTTTCTGTTAAAATTGGGAAATGTTTCATTCATAAAATTGTTGCAGTCATATTCATAAAATTGTTGCAATCATGTTTTTTTAAGATATAAAGCTTTAAAACTGCTAAAATAGCTGAAAAATTAAACTCAAGATTGTTTATAAATTGTAAATAACAGATTCAGTCAAATATGGGATTTTTGGCTCTGTATATGTTTGTGTGATTAAAATAAGAATGATTGAATTATTTCTTTTACTTCTTTTGACTTGTATTTGCTTTCATGTAACTTGATTCTGTAAAACAGATTAACATGTTTGATTATATTGTATGCTCAATAAGTTAATTGATTTGTTTTAATTTAATAATAAAATGATAAACTTGTAGTTCTTGGTTCAATAAAATCTGTCAAACTGGCTGGCAATTTAGCTAGGCAATAGTTGTAGCTAGACAATAATTGTCACAAAAGTAGTTAGATTTGTATGTTGGAGCATCAATTGAGAGAAATAGGTAATTTTGTTATTCACTAAATGCCAGGGTTTGGTGGATCAATTGTGAGACAACCCCCTAAAAAATGTGCTATAATCTGCTTAAAGGCAAGATGAACAAACTTCTGTTGTTCCACTTCAATAATAGAGCCATAGATAAAAGGATTCGAAATTAACTGCACAAGCCATTGTTATGCCCCCGCCATGTAATGGCCGGGGCATATAGTGTTACCCTGTTCCGTCATTCTGTCATTCCGTCATCATCAGTTTTCGTTCATTATCTTAAGAACGGTTGCACACATTCAACTCAAATTTGACATATGGATATGTCATGAGAAAATACAGGTCAAGTTCGAATTTGGTCATGGTTCGATGATTTTTGGCAGAGTTATGCCCCTTTTACTTTGAAAATAATATGAAATTTCAGTTTCCGTTCATTATCTCTCCAACCGTACTACACATTCAACTCAAACTTGACATATGGATATGTCATGAGAAAATACAGGTCAAGTTGGAATTTGGTCATGGTTTGATGATTTTTGGCAGAGTTATGCCCCTTTTACTTTGAAAACAATATGAAATTTTCAGTTTCCGTTCATTTGCTCCCCAACGGTACAACACATTCAACTCAAATTTGACATATGGATATGTTTTTGGAATGCTCAGGCCAAGTTCAAATTTGGTCATGGTTCAATGATTTTTGGCAGAGTAATGCCCCTTTCACTTTGAAAATAATATGAAATTTACAGTTTCTGTTCATTATCTACCCGACAGTGTTACATATTCAACTTAAATTTGACATATGGATATGTCAAAGGAATGGGCAGGTCAAGTTGGAATTTGGTCATGGTTTGATGATTTTTTTTGGCAGAGTTATGTCCCTTTCACTTTGAAAAGATATAGATACATCTTAGGAATAAGCAGTTTAAGTTTGAATTTGGTCGTGGTTCAATGATTTTGGACCAACTTATCTTTCTTGAATGTTGGAAAAATTTTGAACTTTCAGTTTCAGCACCAATACTTTTGTGGAAATGTATGTAGCCATTATGAAATATGCTATTTTCAAAAGGTTGACGGAATAATTTCAGTGCCTTGAACATTGTATGAAAATGGTTTGTGTTAACATTGAAAAGTTTTAAGGGCTTTGAACTTAAAATGAAAAAAATAATTTGAACAAACAAATTTGGAACTAAATATTATTACATCTGAAATTTTGGCTGCATGCGGGGGCATCCGTGGCGTGATGACACATTTCTAGTTTCTTTGAGCAAGGAACTTCTGTGCGATCTAACTTAAAACATATTCTGATAAACCAACCCTGCACAAATGAAAACTTTGAGGATAAATAACTATGGTCAAAGATAGAAAATGGATCCACTTTTGCATTTTTTGACTGAAACTGCAATGCTCGATGTAATGATTCTAAAATATCCTGGAATAAATGTTAACCTTGATGTGTTTGTGCCAAGCTTAGGAACATGTACATACTGCAATAATGGCCATTCTTTGGCTAATTCATTTGACCAAATAGGTTTTCTTTGCTTGTTCAGCTTTGAGGGATTCCTAGATAATGAGGAATGGATTTGTTCCCTAAAAGAACCACAATAATCCAACTGTCTAAAACGGTTAATCTAGTACAGTATCTGATAAATGATTATGTATTAAGTTGGCAGAAAATGTTTAAACTCAGAAATATTTTTGCTCAAAGGTCAGTCACATATAAAGTTAAATTTCAGATATTGGTGTAAAACTTCAAAAAAATATTCCAGAATGCCTTTTAACAAATGTTATGCATAATGAGCTGGTGTGTTTAGTTCAATCATATTTGTAGCATGAAGGTGAAAGGTCATAAAGGTTAGATGTCAAATATTAATCTGACTTTTTCATAATGCCGAAATGGGAACATCACATTGTTGACTATCAAATGATTTGACAATTTATGCAACTCTATCGGTCTATGTTACACTGGTCCGAGGTTGAGAAGACAAAAAGGATGTATCAATATTTGAATACAGTACAACCTCTGCAAAGGAACACCCTTTGAGAGACCAAGAGGAAATTATGGTTGCTCTGGACGTTTAATTTTTATAATCGAGTCTTACTTTACTAATGCTGTCCAAAGGTAATTGCTCTACAGAAGGTCGCTCTGCAAAGGTTTCACTGTATTTAATAAATCACCAGTCTTTAATTTCCACAGGGGGCTAGCATAAATTAGTAGGTTTAAAGCCCCATTTCTGGCTTTAAATGCTGTGACATACATCAAGATTATAGCCATATAGTATCCTACTTTGGACCTCTCTTATACATAATGCTCTGTGGTGACCCCTACGTTATATCTTCATCACCAACTCTGCTATATTGGTTGGTAACACTGCCAAAGAAATTTTCCTGCAAATACTTTACTTGTCTGCGATGGTTACAAGAGATTGTATTAAAAACAAGACTGTACAAATGTTTTACATGTTTAATATTTCTGCTGTATATGGATGAAACTTTACTGTATACATGTTGTATATTCAATAAAACACAGTAACTTTCATTACAGAAAATGGTACGCAAAAAAATAAATCACTCTAGTCTGTGCACAACTTTACAGTCACAGACAATTCTTGGTCAGGTTAGAAGAAAAAAAAAGAAATGAAAGATAACACTCCAAATTCAATTCAGAAAATGACAATAGATATAGCCTGGTGCTGGCACAATTAAAATGTTTACTTATTTAAATTCATCAATATACTAACATCAAAACGAAGAAAGAATATAATGGAAAAAAAAGCAATTAAGACTCCACAATGAATGCATAAAAAAATAAAGAAACTTGAAATTTTAGTTTTCTTGTCAAGTTTACAAACAAATTATTCACTTGTGATACAAATTTTCATAAGACAGTATAAGTGTTGACAAGCAACAACATATTAATTTAATATTAGTGGTTGCTAAGCAAAAATTTCCAGAGGAATATTTAACAGTGAATAGTAGCGGGTTACCTGGTTAAATATTTCATTAACCTGTGTTTTTATAGGCTCACAAAAATCAAAAGAAAACCCACAACTTAATGACTTTCCAATGGAAGTTGGCAAGAACAAACTAAACCATCAAGTTTACGGGTTAACATTTTCAATAAACCAAACAAAAAAAGAATATAAAAACATGAAAATCTAAAAAAAACCCCAAAAATTGTGTACTTCCTACAGAAATGAACAATTTTATGTGAATTTTTAAACTCTTCATACTTTTTTTCTTTTTGCCAAGAAAAACATATATCCCAGTAATTGGAGAAAACTCCTGATAAAATGTGATGTGTAGGCTAAAAAGTATTAATTCAAAAGATGATCATGTTGCAAAATAAAGTATAATGAAACAAGCAAGTTTATCAGCTAACTGCATATTACTTTCACATTACATATTTAAGATGTTTTGAATTTTGTATCTTACAGAAGTAGAAATATCAAAAGTGAATTTGTAAATGATAATCTTTGATAATTATCTTTGATAACTAATGAAATAATTATTCAACGTGATTAAATTCAGTAGCTAACAATATAAAGTCTATGCAGACCACATACATTCAAAAGTGTGCCTGACTTCAAGTGAATTTTCTCCATAATAGTGCTCTTTTACTCTAATAAATTATTAATCCTACTTTTAAATTTCATAAAAATCAAGTAAATCAAAGACAATAACCTTCAAGTATGCTGCCTAAGGTATTAAGTTAAGAACAAAGTCTGCTATATAATAAAGCATTTTTAAGTGGGTAATTATTTCATGATTACAATATTGTAATAAAAATACTGATAATATACATGTTATAATGTATTAAACATGTTATATTTCATGATATAAATACAAAGAACTGTGTTATATTGCTTTTAAATATGAGAAAACTGTACATTAAAACATCCTGACTGTATATTATAACATACAGCCCCTTCCATACAACATCTCACAACCTTACGTTATTTATAATATAATTCTTACCATAATATAAAAAAGTAAATTTTACACTAACAACACATTTTTGACACATCATCAAGAAAATTAATCAATGTCAATCGAAGTAAAAACATCCAGCAGAGTAGTCTCCCTTTCACTGCTTCATCTATTAGCAATTTTTCAAGATTTTTTTACATAAAAAATTGACATTTCACAAGTCTTATTTCATTAAGGAAAATGACCGAATTTTAATGCACCCCTTAAATTTTGTTTTGGTGTATCTTTGTATAATAATTATGCTTATAGATAATTCTACGTTAAGTAACTAAATTAAAACAAATATGAAGTAAAAACATTTGATCATTAACTTATTGTAGCTTTTTTTTCTGTGACACTGTCATCTTAACTATTGTGCAAATTCTCTATAAAACTTAACTCCTGAATGTTCTTCAAAGACATTGAAAACCAATAAAATCACAAAGCGGTTATAAAATAATAATGCCCTGTTCCCACTTTAACTATGTTTGATAAATAAATTTTTTATTCATGTTTCACATTCTTGTTTCTAGAATTTATGAATGAAAACAAAATCCAAATGCTTGGCTTAAGACAAATTTTGTATTGCATTTGGCTTGAAACAAACTCTTTTGCCCCCATCTACTACATGTAAATCTTTTTCTTTTCTTTTTTTATCAGCCATTTCAGCAATACCAGACTAATCTGTGTGTATTAGGTGTCTAATCTTATCATATCTTGGTAGAACTAACTGCAAAAATGTAATAAATTCTATAATTTGAAAATGAGATTTGTTTTTCTGCACCAAACTTTCGCATTTGCATAAAAACAACAGAATGAAATTCCACCAAATGTACCACATTAATACTATGGTACAGGTTTTTTTATTGCATAGTTATGTTTGTTTACAATATCTAAAACATGTATTCAATCACACAACACTG